TTTACAAAACTATCCGTCTGTTTTGAAATCCCCTACTTGAAAAATTAATTTAATGGAAAAATGTGTTCAATTTAATTTTTGGTGATTTTTGGTGACAGTATATGTTTAAGTCATGTTTGTTTTATGCTAAAATTAAACTTTAATCAATATGTTTAAATCAGTCTTTGTTGATGTAAAGGTAAAATAAGAAACAATTAAATTGTTCTTGATGTAACTGAATAATCTAATAACCAATTATTCACAAACGGTCAAAAATAAATAAATATAAAATATGCTAATTCTACTAAAATTATCCAAACATATTAGATTTATCCAACAGCGCGAATAAACGGCAGGTTAAATACAAAAATTATGAAATTACAGTATATAAATACAATGTCAACTACAAAAATCTTAAATGTAGTACTTACTAAAACCTAAAGAATCTACAGATACATAAAAGGAGGTCTTCTCTTCTTTCTACGAAGCGTTTCTTCGGGGAGGCCAAGAGGGAGAAAGTGAAAAAGGCTGCGGGTGGCGGCAGATGTGTGTGAGATTGAAACACCCGATGCGCAATCTGAGACAGATTGGGTGAGTACGGTTTCAGAAATGTAGAACAGTTCTCAATAAATTTTAAAGTAAATTTTAAAGTATGGTTGTTATGGAAGCCAGGTCACAAGCAAACTACTCTTGTTGCTAATCATTCGAGAGTGGAAAGTGAAAATATTGCATAAACGTTTGGCAATGCTGCAGTAAATCGCCAGACGGATAATCGAGGTTCTCCTGTTGCGGTAAAAGAGGAAAATATTTGAATGAACACACTCTCAGAGTGACCGACCGGATACAAGACGAAGAACATTACAGAATCAGCATTACGGAAGAGTTTAAATAATCAAAGTACATAATATATATATATATATATATATTACTAATATATTGACGAAATACACATAATTTTAAAAATTAAATAACCTCTGCTCATGTTAAAGGTTACAATGGTTTCTCTAGATATTCAGTAAGCTTGTGAAAATACAAAAACCATTAAATCGTTTGGATTTTGTCTGAGAAATGCAAATATTTTATTATATTAATTCGCAATTTCTCATGGCCGTTGTTACGACCGTATTCTGATACTCATTGCGTCACTGCCTATGAAGCAGCTGAACATATACACTTCGTAAGACATTCATTCTCAAATTTTTTTCTCCAACAAAAGCGTTTTGAATGTTGTTTGGTCCAATTCTTCAATTTTTTATTTAATTACATAGTCAAAATGTTTGTGTAAGTACCTGTAGAAAAGTGAAATAATGTATATGTACTTTTCCCTGAAAGAATTATTCAAATTTGCCAAGGTAAATAAATGTATAACTTAAAATGTCTCGAATCTGTATTTTGGAGTTCTGACATAGTTTTTATTTCTTTCCAGCAACTTAAGTACGTGTTTCCATTGATTTGTATGCTGACTTTGTAGAGAATTTGTTTAGAAACTAGCGGGGATCTATGTGAATCTCTGAAATTCATGAATGATCTGCAGCAACAAGAATACTGCTTACGAGCGTGTGAAAACCCGCAGTTTTGATCAAGCGGGCCTAAATCCATTTCCACATTCTCCCCATTTTCACGTATTTGAGAAAAGCATCTATACTGCTCATGGAACCCGTTTTGCACTCATTCTGCAACAACATTTTTTCTGCTCCAGCTCTCTAGCGCATATAATCAGTGGGGCTTAAAATTTCACCCAAGTAATTAAAAATTCCGAGCCTCTCATCTCTCATCCTACATAACGAGAAAAACCGTCTCCTTATCCCGAAAAAACAAGAAATGCAACGCAAAGCTGCAAACCACAGGGAGCATTGAATATGTCCTGCGATATAGCATAATTTAACATAATTTTTTATAATAACATAATTTTATCGCCCATGTTATAAATAATAATGTGGTCCTATGGTTGGAGTCTCGATTGGTTAGCGGATTTTCGACACAAGCGACATATCAAGGTCGAATTCAGATTTTCTGGGCGAATCTAGTGGCCGGATGCTCTGATAGGCAGTTTTCCGCCATTACACCGACCAATACGGGGGAGCGGTACACTAAGAAACGAGCCATTACCCCGTATCTGTACCACGGGCTATCTATCCTTTTCACCTTTGTTCCATCTTCTCCCCTTTCACACATTCACACTTACACTCACATGTACCAAACTGCCACACACGTCGAGAGACCAGTCGGGAACGTAGATCCTGTCCTTAATGAGGCGCGGAGCTCCACTGGAAGAGATACGTGGAGAAGGAAACCTTTCGCATTCGGTCGTGTAGGTCGATGCAGAATCCTACCATCCAGCGGGAAGGAACACCACTACCTCCCGGGATAAAGCTTTCACTTCACTTATAGCAGTTGATGCGCCCGGGAACAGAAAGTCAATCAAAAGCCTAATCTATAACCTGATCCACGCCATGTAACTATCTACATTGGGAATAATTTAACCAAACCCGTATTTGGAGGACGAACTCTGGTGAAAATATATATGAGAATAGCGCCACAATCCCTCTTCAGGAGTAAATCAAAATAAGTTCCGGGAGTGCAAAGAATGCAGTAGAGCTGATCGTCATCTCTTGCATAATCATGTTCACTATATATATATATATATATATATATATATATATATATATATATATATATATATATATATAGATATATATATATATAATATACATACATACATAGGGGAGGTCGTAGGGTTCAATCTCGACGGTGACAATATTTTCAACATTAGCTAGATAGTGAGGTCGAATTCACCCGCTGTCAGGAGGAGAATTTTTGCGACCAGCTGCTCTGATCGATAGTTTTTCGTGGTTTCTCAGAACAATAAGAGGCGAATGCCTGAGTAATACTCTAACACAGGGGTCAAAGTCTGCGCGCTATCTTTCCTTCCTCTTCCTTGTCCTATCGTCACACCCTAATTTCACACACTACACTTACATGCACTACACCACCAAACATCGCGAGAGACTAGCAGTGAACGTCGAGCTTGTCCCGGCTGGGGCGGTGCCTCACTGGTGGGAGATTCCTAGTTAGAGATATACCTACGTCGCCAGATAGGTCGGACTTCACCACCCACTCTGGCGATTAAAAAATGCTCTATACTTACGAAACTAACAGTTGATCGACCGGAAACACAAAATAATCAAAGAATCAATTTGTGGAGCGCGGCGCAATGACGCGCGTCTCGGTCCGTGGCAGAGTCTGCGGGCGACGTGTCCAATTTTGGCGACTGATGATATTGTTGGGCCTGTTGTACATTTAAAATGGTCAAAGCTGTTAGCATGTCGATCCTTGTTTTGTCTGTTTAAATCCAACCGACGACATGGATTTTAAGAGTGAAAATTGCTTCCTACGCATTTCATGTGGATGGGAGGTAAAGCCGGCAGTCCTTTGTTGCCACCGCGAGCAGGTTGGAAGCCACGGCCTTATGTTGTGGTCACGCGTAGAGATACGCTAGGGTGTAAAGAGAATCTCAATCAGAGAATTCGGATTCACGGTTACACTCAATTTCAATGGTAGATGCCCACCGGAGGAAAGGAAATCTCAATTAGAGAATCTAGATTCACGGTTACACTCGATTTCAATGGTAGATGCCCAGGGGAGGAAAGGAAATCTCAATCAGAGAACTCGGATTCACACGATTACACACGATTTCAATATGTTTTTAAATACGAAAAAATTAACACCGCGAAACTAGAATCATGATGATAGAGACTTTTACTTAATGAAATATATTCTTCAAAATTTAATCAGTAAGTGAGGTCACTAACTTTGTTTGGAATTACTAACAATGTTGTTAATATTTAATTTTTTTGAAATTTCAAATTGTAATTTCCCACAATTATTTTCCTACAATCTCTCTGGAGTTATCAGGTTCCCCAATAAAACTGGAACGCCGCTTCATAGCAGTTGGAAATTCTCAGAATATCACCTCGTTTCTGGGAGTGGAGAATATATTTTTAGATTGTCGAATGTGTTGATGTATTAGCTTTAAATTAATTACGTTTTTGCGCCTAATGCACTATGATTAGTAATGTGTTTTGAAACTGGTGGCAAAAATGTGTTAATACGGACAGAAAAAGCAGTATTATAATTTTACCTAACCTTTTCTAATGCAAGAGAGTGCATGCTGTTATAGCACTACTAGTGTATTTTTACCTCTTGCTACAGACATTTTAATCTAAATGTACCAACGAGCAGTTCATTGTAGAATACTTAAATAATATTATTTGGCACGGTAATATTATTGTATATTGGTACTATGAGTCGTACTTTAAAGGAATTAAATTGACACCTTCCAATCAATCTCAAAGGAAAATATTTATAAATATTTTGTAAAATTTGGTGTTATTTTTAATTTGAAAATATCTCATTTCTTTGAAATAATAATGGTAGTAGTTTGCATTAATTTTTAACTGAAAACCCGTGCATGTGGAAGTTCTGCTGTTTTCATACTATGTCGAAAGTTGAAGGGCTCGATGTGAAATGGCTCAGTATTCTTTTGTTCGGCGCGTTAAAATTCACAGTATTCTACGTATTGTTCTGTTTTAGTTTTACATCAGCCTCACAAAGCCAGCTTTCACCAGAATAATTAAAGCATTTTTTCACACGGCGTGTGGTCTTCGTAATGGTATTTGATAATACATAAAATATCTATCAAGTAGTTGAATTTGTAGGTAGATGCATTAAATTGTTATATTGTACATGAACTATCCTTAACATCACGAAACTTCAAATATCAGTAGGCATGTATGATCGCGTCAACTTCACGTTCACACTAACATTGACTTACCAAATCCTCCATGGAGCAAACGGGCGGTCAACGAGTTAAAATCCAATTGATAGGGAACTGGTTTCTCCAATTGAACGCACAGGAGCTACCAGTTGAATCGTTCAATCAATCAATCGTTTATACTTCAGGCATGTGCCTGAGAGTTGTATAAAAATATTTTGTTTCAATGATAAGTTATTTTTACTAGGAACGAGCAAAAACTTACATGCGTGGAGACATGTGAATGGTCGAAAAGCAGTTCGGTCATAAAAGGAACAGCGTCAGTTCCTGATGCCTGTACCTCCCAACCATCTGCAAGCTGCCTCAAGAGAAATTCCACTTACATTGTGGAATATTTGAAAGAGTATGTCAATCGACTATCCGTGCTTCCATTACTGTACACATTTTTTCCTAATTTTGTTCTCGACTCACAAATAAAAATCTAAAAAAAATGTTTTTCTCAAACAAAAACATCGGAAAACGAATGTCAACCGGAAACTGTAGATTAAAATTTTACCCCAAATATTGTTTTTGTTCATTCACCCCGTTCGTGGAAAAATAAGACAAAAAGTATATAATTGTTAACATTTGAGTCTGTGTTGTATTAATGCTTAAGTTTTACTTCCTTAAATTTCTTTAATTGTTCCCCCCCTCTTACCATTTTCCTTATTTTGGATTTCTCTCTTTAAATGAAGAATTATTTTAAATCGAGTTTTTTCTTATACATTGGAGTCCTTAATATTCAGAATTTCATTTTTTGCTGCAATTCAGTTAACAGAAAACGTATTCAAACCCAATTGACTTTCTTTTATCATTATTCAATTCTCATGAGAAATAACGCGTGCTACATTTAATCTCGACATTTGACTGAAGTACTGGTTCTGGATACTTCTGATTTTGTTTCTTGAAGCAGATACAGCAATTTCAATAAAAAATCAAATTTGGTTTCGTCCACAGTTCAATGGACCATCTACAAGAACCTTTAGCACTCAACACAACACGTACACTGAATTTTATTTCACATATCGCCGGCTCAAAGAACGGTCAACACGGTAAACGACAAAATATATTCCTCTACTCCGGCTGCCTTGTGATCTATAGTAATGTCCTTTTTACTTGAAAAACTAGTGGTGCTAAAGCATCAGGTACGTTTTCGTCATTACTAATGGTTATGTAATGCTATTTATACCACAATTTCTCTCCGAATTATTTTTTGTAAAACTCATTTTAAATCGTAGAACATTTGGTGCGAAAATAAACAGTATGCGAGAAACAAAAATAATTAAAAGTTAATAAATAATACAATACTAATATCGTTGTCAGGATACTGCTCCGGCATTCGCCTGGTATTGATCGCAGAAATCAAGGAAAAATATCGATTAAAGCAGCTGGACGCCACCATTCTTCCCCAGACTGCTACTGAATTCAACCAAGCTGACAAGCTCCTAAGCGAGAATCGCTAACTGTTTTTTGCGTCTTCGCAATTGACGCAACGCGTCTCCAAGCCCCGGGGGCGTTGAGCGCTTTGCACGTTCGGAGTAATCTCCATTAATTCCAGCGCGCGAGTAATCCTCCATTAATATTTCAACATGACATATCCGTCACGACTCTTCGCAGTCAGTTGTCAAGAGGACCGCCAAGTAACATCTCCATGTAGATTCGTTACTTTATTTCATACTATTGCCAAACACAACCAACAACTGCATGAATTTAATAAAATCATACAATTAAACAAGGAAAGAACTTACCATTTAAGCATGTTCCTGCGCCTTGGCAAATATGTATGCATGATAGAATTTAAAAGGAAAGTAAACACGAAATAGTAATAAATAAAAAATATAAACATAGCTGTTTGATATAACAAATCTGGCAAACACATTTTCGTATGAAGCCGTGGTGCCTCGAGTGGCTTTAGCTTGCCCTAGCGCACACACACACACACACACACACACACACACACCTTCCCTTCTGGATGTGGAAAATGAGAAACGGGAACCCAGTCAGGGGAAGTTTCCCGCGCTCATAGGAGCTCCGTGCTTCCCCGGCAGGCAATTAGCTCGCGCGGACGCGGTTTGACGTGTCTGCCCTGGGTGAAGGAGGCTGAGCCGTATGAGAGTAGGGGATCAGCGTATCAAGAGGAGGAACGAGAGAGGGAACAGGATAAAGCCGAAAGGAGAGCCCTAGACCCGCTCAAAATGCATTCTATTATCGATCGTTCTCGCTGACTTGCTGTTGCAGTCTCGCAGAGCGAGCGCGTCCCATATCTGCCTGTGAAATCTATACCGAGGCCCCTGTCAAGGACCGGAACTATCGATACGTACCGTTTATACGCGCCTGTTCTCGTCAGTGTTGGTTGAGCGTGCTTTGTGCACAATTTTGTTGGTAGTTTCGACGTATTTTACTCGTGAGAAGAACCATGAGCTCTCTTACAAAGGAGAAAATACTTTAAAAAGATATTTTATAGACACTGCTTCTGCAATTGCGCAGATTAAATTGCACTATATTTGCAACGTGCCTTGTACGATCCAATATTAATTTAGTGTACGTGATTGAACATGCCATACTAGTACACATAGTTTATCACCTCCATTGACAGTAGAATAAATAAGGCGTTTAAGGTGTTTAATATTAACGCTTGAGCGATAAACGCAGTCAAGAGATCCGGTGACTCCTCCTACATTCGTTATCGATCGTATTCCGTAAAAGCCTTGGTTCTCTTCATTTCGTGGGTCAAGACGCGTGGAGATAGCTCTGACGCGCCTTCGGATTGGTCACTGTCATTTCTCCCATGGACATCTCCGCGGTGACCCACCCCTTCTTGCGATAGTTGCGATACGGATCTTACCTTGAAACATATTCTCCTGCACTGTTTTAAGGTATTATATTGCCGGCAAAGGCTTTACCTTGCTAGCTCTATAGCATAGGTACTTGGAAATGAATTTTCTCTGTGCAGTTTTTAACTTCTTACAAGAGTCTGACATTTACAGCATTATCTGAGAGAAGAGGATTATGCAAATTATTTGGCTTATAACTTGATATTTTAAAGCGTTTATCTGGCTCTTTTCAGCCAATCCTTTTAAATAATTGAACATGTTTATATACAGTTTTACTTACATTTTACTTTGCAAAAAAAATGTTTAAGTCTGGAACTGCTACATTGCGTATTGCTCTTTAATTTTTTTTAATTGACACGGGTGCCAATGATCTTAGCTGTTGAAGCGGCCTTAAACCTTAATCATCATCATGTTACCCATCGTTGCGTATTTGCCCCCTTCTCGGAGAGAACACTTCGATTAAATGCGAAGAATCGGTATCGATCGTTCTAGAAACTGGCGGTGCTGAAACTAGCCTTCTCGGTCACAGCAGCATCTCTCTTGGCACGCTGGTTTCGTCGCCGAGAACAATCGGAATAGAGTTCCTTTGCGCCCAGCTTTAGGCTCCGTCTCCTACCTGTTGATTAACCCACGGCCCACATTGCGCTCAAAACCGGAATGAATGGGCATTTTGAGTTTCCGGATGCTCAACAACTTTGGGTATTTTCGCTCGATCACAATTCAACATATATCTCGTATAGTGGCAGAGTTCTTCCCCCTCTGGAGCATGAGATACGGCGCCAATCTACACGGTAACTTGTGGATTTCCCCTCGAAGTATCTCTCCAAACAGGGCACTGCTCTAGCCAGTATAAACACTTAACTGTGTATTTGTGTGTGTGTGTGTGTGTGTGTGTGTGTGTGTGTGTGGTGTGTTGGTGTGTGCGTCTAAGGTGTAAGAGAAAATGAAGGAATTAAGGATGAGAAAGGGAAGATCACCCGTGGTCTGTGACCCGTTTGTAAGAGTACTACTTCAATTTAGTTTAGTGATTCTGGGCACGTCAGCTACCAGGGTCATTAGTTGTACTGCTTCGGTATTCGCCTGGTATTATTGGAGAAATTACGAAAAAAAAACAATCAGGGCTGCAAATTGCTGGAATTCTCCCCCAGGTGATCTTGAATTCTATCTAGCTCTTTGGATAGTGTCGACTTTATGCAACCTTCGGGACTCTTAAGACCACCCGATCAGCATCATTCCACAACCAACGGCAATGCTGTTCTATAGCCATGTCAATTGGTGCGTATGTTCGATCGAACGGCGTCGTCTGAAAAGAAGCTGATCTGGATACATGTGCGCCAAAATTTAAAAACGGCATTCGCTGGGAATTAACCGAAATTTTCTCGAGTGTTTATCTGGGATCAAACATTTGCCTCCGTCTAGACGCAAAGGTAAGACATCCCGGTCGAATAGCTTTATTTGAAGACTCTGTTATACTGAATGAGTAATTTCAGGTGAGAAATAAAATGCACCATCGTCTGCTCTTCAATTCGATGACCAAATGTTTCTAACGACATTTTGATGAGAAACATTTCGTTTCTACACTGCAATTTCTTACAGAATTGTCGCTCTGACAAGGGTTCTAACTAATCTACTTTTTTGCCGGAAAATCTACTTTAAGTAGAGATGAAATCAAATTTGTGAATTAATCGAATTTGGCTGTAAATTGTGACAGTTCTGTATCGCACGAGGCCCTGCAATTGCCACATTTTAAAACGTCACATTCTTATCTCGCGAGCAGACCGCCAGTATTGCTGTGCACTCGCTATAACACTATAGACCTAAGAGTCAAAAGCGACGCGGCGGGTCGAATCTAGTATTGATTGTTTAGTGTCTCAGGGCGCGTCAACTATGGTCATTAGTTCCTTAAGTGAAGTGCATGCTTTTTATAACGCAAGGAGACGGGGATCCTTCTCCAATGTCTGGTGAGATTCGTCGTCAACCTGTCGGCGAGCGGGCTTTCCCCAACCAGTGTCTCCCTCCAGCGGGGCATCGCCTCAGCAAGGATAAGCTCTAAGCTCCCGGCTGGTCTTCGGACACGCGTGGTAGTGTAGTGCGTGTAAATGTGTAAGGACAAGGAAAAGGAAGACAAATTGCACGCGGCCAATGGTCCTTTAGTTAGGACATTGCTCCGCTATTCGCGTAGTGTTGATCGGAGAAACTACGGATCCTATGGTTTAGAGCATCCGGCTACTACGAAGAATTCACTTCCAGACAGCGACGGGATTCGATCTATCTAGCCAATGTCTACAATCCTGCCACCGTTCGGACTCAAAACCCAAGACCTCCATGTCAGAGGCACTGCAGTGAGAGCAGCCATCAATCCACCTAGGTTCTAATCTTGGTAATGAGCATTATGTTGCGGCGATAAACATGCTGCAACAAAATTAATTAGTTTCAGAAATGGCATTTTTTTAGAATTTATGCTTCTGACGCCCGAAAGGTAAAATAACTATCAATTGCTAATA